TTAAAGTATTGTCATGTGAACCTTCTTGTAATCATGAGTTAGTGTCTAGTGTGTCTTGTGTGTAACTATTTTCACTTGTTTGTAATTATTTTCATGTACTAAGTTTTTTCATACACTATAATTGATTACTATATAAGAAAAATTATTTATTTAGTTTTAACATTAAAGTAAAAAGAAAGTTAGGAGAATGACAAAAAACACTTACGAAAGAGGCAAATTCCATATCAGACCACTGAAAATGGCATAATTTCTAGGACTTCTTTTACAACCATACTGCCCTTATGTAAACCCCGGGGGGGGGGGGGAATCCCCCCATGCTGGTGACCACTGACCGGAGAATAATTGGGAAGAAATGACCTTGAGATCAGTAGCTATTTTACTTAAGAAACAACTACTTTTTCACCGGCTGACTTCTGTCTTTATGGTTCGCTCTTGACAATGAATTACTTGGAGATGGATTCAAATTAAAGCTGGTGGCCAAAAATAAGAACAAAGAAAAAACTACTTTAATTATATCAAACGATAAAAGCTTATGTAGTAAAAACTAGTATATTAAAAGGTTAGATTTGGATTTTTATTATTTCTTAAAATGAAACTATTATTGATTTCTAAATCACTGCTAACATTTAAAATCCAAACTTAGCTTGTGACTGTTCAAGCTTTTGTTATTGTTTCATATAATTGAAGTTTTTTTTATAAAAAAAGTAAGGTAATAATTGATCTTCGTGCCACTGATAATACTTAAAGCCTAAATCTAACTTTCAAAAAAAAAATACTATCATTGTCTAAACTTCTTGTACGTATATTGTCTGAGACTTTTATTATTACTTTATGTAATTAAAGTTGTTATTTTGTAAAGATAATTAACTACTATTGATCTTCATATCATTATTAATACTTAAAATCCAAACACATTTTTGTTAAATACTTCTCTCTCCGTTTCTTATTATGAGATCTACTTAACTATGTCACATGGTTTAATAAAACTATTAAAATTAGTTAAAAGTAATAAATATATTAAAAATATACTTTTTGCCCCAAATATGCCCTTAATTATAAGTGGGTTGGTGTGAGTGAGAAAAAAAATAAGAGAGAATGTATGAAAATGAAGTCAATCATTAAGCTCTTAAAAAAACTTTTTCTACAACTTTTTCTAACAACATCTTTAATCTTATATTTTATAAATATATATACACATAATAATTATCAATTAATTATTTTTTTCATATATTATTTATTATGTTGGAAAAATATATTATTTTCAAATTCATTATTTCAAACAAAAATATAAATTAAATTCTATCTTTTATGTAATTATCATATTAACTTATGTCTTTGTTGGTAATTTGTACAAAAAAAAAGTGATTTTGATAACAACCATCCAAATACTCCAGAATAACTTTTATTCTTTCAAAATCTATTCTCAAGATAACTTTTATTCTAGAAGGTGTTCTTCAAATCATAGTTTGGTTTTACCTAAACACCTTCTAAGCCAAAACCATATGTGAAGCAACACCCTCAACCAATTTTTCTAGCTAAAAGAAGATGACATAAAGACTCTTGATAGATGGGCAATTACTGTATATAAATTTACAATTTTGTCAGCATCATCTTTTTTTTTTTTTTGATGAAAAGGCAGGAATACAACTTGAAAGGAAATAATAAAAGAGCTAGCAGCTACTCTAAGTCATCTCTAATACGAGATAGATGTTCATTTGGGGGGTGCCACAATATAACCATGTCTTCCGTAAGCATGTGCGCCTCCTTGGCCGGTTGATAGCGCACTGTATGTTAGCCCGTGGTGTGTCGCTGATCCCAAGTCCTAATTAGAGTATATAAGATTCCTTACTTTCATTATATGTGATCGCAGAGGATGCTGGAGGCCTCCATCTACCATAATCATATGATACACTTCCATAGAGTCAATAAACGCCATAACTCTGTTGTATCTTTGTTGTTTGCAGATTTGCAACCCTCTTAGTAGCGCTATCAGTTCTGCTGGAGTAGGGGGTAAGAATCCCAACTTCTTGAAGCCAACGAGCCATTGTCCTGATAAGTTCTTGATTATTCCTCCACATGACGTGAGTTTCATTGCATTTACAGATCCATTCGTATCCAATCTAACAAAACTCTTGGGCTGTGGAGTACCAAAGATTTGGTGCTTCAGTTCTCCTTGCTCTGCAGTCTCTATGAGGAGATGCAGGCCATTATGCATAAGTTCCTTTGCTCGACATCATTGACCATTCGTAATTCCTCTGCATCTGTTCTTCCACAGTAGCCAATAAATCAATGCGAAAACCTTTAGCCATTGCCATCGTGCAAAATGATTGTTGCCATGAAGTTTTGTTGAATTCAATCCTACAAGTTAGAGTGAAAAAACTTTGAAAACTCAATTAGGTGAACCATATTAAGCTAGACCATTCTAGCTATCTTACAATCTCTCAAGATGTAAAGGGTGTTTTCCTCTCTCATGCACTCAAAGGGGCACTAAGCCCTGTTTATAATTCCTCTCTGAGCTCTTGGTAAGTCATGAGGAAGTCTCTCTTAAATAGCTTGCCATCAAAACATATTGACCTTTTTTAGTACTGGAAGCTTCCATAACTTCTTCCATTAACCATCATGGGGTTGGTCATTTTGTTTAGAAATCCATCGGTAAGCAGCCTTGACACTAAATTTACCGTCATGTGTCTTTCTCCAGCAAAACTCATCATCTTCATTACTAGAGGGGGAGTTTCATATGGTTGAGAATTTCAATGATCCAAGGTGGGAGATAATTTTCCCATTCTTGCACATTCCATTGCCCATCTACCCTCACAAAATAGTTGATCGTAGCATTGAAGTTAATTAAGTGAAAATATCTGTCAGCTAGGAAGATTAAAGGCTCATCCAAAGGAGACCATAAATCCCACAAAAAATGGGTTCGGTTGCCGTTGTTAACACATCTGCCAATCCCTTTATAGAACTTGCCCCACATGTTTGTTGTGCTCTGCCAAGCTCAAGCATTGAACCCTAAGAGCTTCTAGTTTAGTGAGCAGCCCCCAACATAATTTCATGATAAAAGCTTGGTTTTTTGCATTGCAAGTCTTTAGTGCCCGGCCCACCACCTGTTTTCTCTTGTTTGATTTTTTTTTTCCCAAGCAATAAGATGCATTTTCCTACCTTCTTGTTGCTGGTTTCATAGGAAGTTCCTACTATTTTTTTTTCAATCTCATTCAGGATGCCTTTAGGTAAAAGTGCAGTATGCATTTGATAACTTGGAAGAGTTGATATAACTGACTTAATCAGAGTGGTTCTCCCAGCCATGTTGAGGACTCTGCCTTTCCATGAGGTCAATCTTTTATGGACTCTATAGATAATAGGGTGGCAAATTACTTTACTAACTCTTTTGTGAAGAGTCAATACGCCCAAATATTTGCCTAAATTAGCAGTTATACTAATACCCAACTTCTAACTCATATCAGTGGCCTTGTTAAAACAAATGTTATAGGAAAAGAAGGCTTTAGATTTTTCGAAACTGATTTTGTGTCCCGAGATCGTGCAGAATAAGGCCACAGTGTTGCTCATGACATCTATTTGATACATACTGGCTTCTTCAAAAAGCAGGAGATCATCAACGGAAAAGAGATGTGAAATGACTAGTTCGTATGAGTTAAATTTCAATCCCTTTCATTTGCCCTCCATGACCTCTTTGTGAATAAGCCTCTAGTCTCTCCATACAAATCACAAACAGGTAAGGAATGGAAGGTTCACCATTTTTTTTCTTTTGGAGTTGCTTGCAAGCCTCTTTGCTTTGGAGTTTGGATAATAAACTCTCATCTCCCCACTTCAAGATCCTCTCCATCTTTGGTTGTTTGTGTGGGCAAAGCTTTCATCAACATGATAGTAACAAGTCACCTCATTTTCCATGACTTGGCAAAAGATTCTCGCTCTTTTATGAGACTTCTATATGAATCTTATTTTCCTTATTTTTGTTGAAGTTTTCTTTAGGTTTTGAAATTCTAATATTTGCTCTATCTCTTTCGAAACTTTGTAGTTTTTTTTTATGGATTAATGTCATTTTGCATTTTTTTATAAAAAAAGTGAAGTCAGTAATTATTAATATGGTTAATATCATTTTTACTTTTTAAAATTTGACTTATTTTGATTTTAGTTTCAAAAATTTAATTTTATTTTGATTCACTTAAGAATTTTTTTATCCTTAGAATAAGGGCCAAAACCAAAATTTGCTGGAGCCAAAACTAACATATAGTCAAATTTCAGAAACTAAAGCACTAATTTTAAAATTTAGGGTCTAAACCAAAATAAAATGAAATTTCAGTGACTAAATATGGTGAAAAGTTTATCAAATTTCAGAAACAAAATTACATAAAAACAAAATGACTCATTCTCAAGGATTCTTCAGGGACTTTTTTTTTTTTTTTTCCAAATTATACATGTAAGAAATTTATGTTTATGAAAAATTTCACATCGACGTAATTCCGTTGACAGATACGCTCGATAAAGAGAGGGAGACCACGCAGAGAATTGCCAAGCTTGGTTATCGAACCTGAAGTGTTGTGGAGAAGGAAACCCTTCTGTCAATCGTTTCCTTTTTGACGAAGACGATCCTAATAGTGTGATTGTCCGATTGGCTTGTAAACCTACTTTATCTCACCCTTGAATTTAATATCAGTTTTCTGATAGCTTGTAGCGGCACTTACTTTAGCCCTTACCACATTTTGTTGCTTCCGTGTTCCATCCAGGGTCTGAACGCCTTTATGGATTTCGGGCATATTGAGATTTTCGTTTGTTTTTTTTAACCTGTTCTGTTCACATACATAAATACTCTATATATTTGGTCACCAATCTGTTTTTGTTTATATTGCTTTTAGATTAATTTTTGCTGTATAAATTGGATTCACTGCGCTCAAATTGTTGAAATTTCATACTTTAAAACAAGCTCAAGTTCAGGTGGTCGGTTCCGTCATGGATTAGTTTATATGGTACAATATGTTCTTTCTTTGCATACATGTTCAGAAAGTTTATTTTATTTTGTAAGTCCCGTAAAGTTCAAAGTTCTTGACGAATCTATCACGGATTAGTATGCATTTGAATTATTTTGTATCTTGTAAAAAGAAATAGAGGGCGACGAGGGGTGCACTGCTAAAATAAATTCTTAGTGAGTGTTTTTGATGTTTCTTGTTCAACTAAATCAGAGGATGCTATTACTGGTTATCTTTTGGTCTTCTACATATCACAGGCATCAAATTCTCCAATTTTTTTGTTAATTATATTCCATTTGTATTCTGCGTCAATTGTATGTTTGTGAGGCCTATTATCATTAGATGAACTCTCATCTTGTAATACTTTATTTAAACAGGAAATGCCTTTGGCAGTGTTCTACTTCAGCGACCTAATGCAAGTTCTTATGAATTTATAATTCAATTATGCTCATTGCATATGAGATCTCCTCATCTGATGAAGACATTAGGTCATCTCAGCGTATTTATCCAATCAGCCTACTCACCTCCTACATGGGCAGCAATAATTGCTGGTGCCTTTATCATCATTACTCTTACTCTGTCAATGTATCTCCTGTTTGAGCACCTTTCTGCATACAAGAATCCTGAGGTTCTCCTCCTTCAATGTTTAACTTCTAAATGGTTGTTTTCCTAGCGTGCATCCGTTTATTACATTATTAACAATTCTTTTCCCTTGCCCTTCATAGGAGCAAAAATTTTTGATTGGAGTCATCCTAATGGTTCCATGCTATTCAGTAGAATCAGTAAGTTGTGTAATTAATGTTACAATTTGTCTGAGATGCTGAAGTGATATAGCATTTCTGAAAGGACCAGTTGACAAGAAGATACAAATTTCAATACGTAGCTATGGATCCTGGGTTTCATTGTTGTAGTCTATTTGTGAAATTTGAAATCCCTCCTTGTTTTCCCCATTTGTTTTATGCTTATGGCATAAACTACTTTGTTTTGAATGCTTCTGACTCAAGTTGATGTTAGCAGTTTGTATCACTGGTGGATCCATCGATCAGTGTTGACTGTGCAATATTGCGGGATTGCTATGAATCCTTTGCCATGTATTGCTTTGGAAGATACCTTGTTGCTTGTCTGGGTACGTTGTTGCAGTAGCCTGTACTTATCACATAGAATTTAATTCAAGAATGTTAATATTTCTTTAACTAGAATATTGGATCTAAATTCTTTCCCCCTCCATTTTCATTGTCCTTTGCAGTTTTAATGAAGCTTTTATGCCCTTTTAATTTAGTGAATATCTATTAATCAAAAAGGGATATCTTATTCTAAATGTTTGACTGTACTTATGTTTTTTTTAAAATTTAAATATCTCCATATTTTTATTAGGAATTGAGAATCTTAACATTTTTATGATTTTGGCTTGTGATTGGACTTACAAGTGTACGGGATTGTAGTAGTAGTATATCCAGAGTACTCCAAATGTCATACCTAATGCAGGAAGATTTTCCCTAGTCCAATTAATTTATAGTCAAAAGCAAAATAAATATTTGATTAAAAGAAGCAAAATATAAAATAACATGTGCAAATGATAATTAATTTAAGATGATTTGATCACTTGAAGCACTGGAGGATCAGAGTTCACATTATGAGATTTCAAGATTCTATCTCGATTGACTTTTATAGTTATAGGGACAATTGTTCCTAAAGTGTTCAAATTACCTCCCAAAGAATTGGTCTCTTTTTAATTAATTAGTGTTGAATTCGCTCTTGCGACATCCGTATAACTAATGAAACCATGAAGCTACAACTTAGTCACCACAAGTTCTTTAAGCTAATTAAACCATGAATTTGCTCCTGCAATACCCATATGTTACATTGTGTTTACACAACATTTCTATTTTTTGACTGATACTTTTGTAGGCATTGCGGAATATATTTAATTGATTTTGTGATTCCTTTCAACATTCTGTAGCTTTTATATTTTAAGATTTAAATTGATGTTCTTGAGTTCGACATGTAGCTGCTCCCACCTTTACATTTTTTTTTTTTGGGGGGGGGGGGGGAGATCAAGTTCATTTAATGTTTTGGTGTCTATCTATCTTATAGGTGGGGAGGAAAGGACCATTGAATTTATGGAAAGAGAAGGCCGTGCCAGTTCAAAAATGCCTCTATTAGAGCATAGTTCTGAAAAGGGAACTATAAAGCATCCATTTCCTTTGAACTACTTCCTTAAACCCTGGAAACTTGGTCGGTGGTTTTACCAAATTGTGAAATTTGGAATTGTTCAATATGTATGCTTCTGTTACTTAGATAATCTATTCTTTTCTCATTTTTCCTGTAAATCTTTTGTGTTATATTAACTCCTCCAAAATGCTTGTTTTCCCTTACAGATGATAATAAAGTCTCTCAGTGCTATTATTGCAGTAATCCTTGAAGCCTTTGGAGTTTACTGTGAAGGAGAATTTAAATGGGGATGTGGGTAAGAAAATTTGGAATGGCTGCAATAAGATTAGTTTGGTTCTTCAAATTACATGAACATGTTGAAGTAGCTATGATGCATAGTAGTTTATGTGGTGTTGTTTTATTTGTCTCAAAAGACTCAAAGAACTTGTTTATTTACTCTTTTCATTTATATTCCTTTTAATTGGTTATTAAAGGTATAAAATTTGCCGTATTTATGGATTTTACCCGCTTAGAATGTAGATTCCTTTTACTTCACCTTCAATTCACCTTCACTATGTCGTTGTCATAATTGAGGGCTGCCTCTTGTTTTACATTCCTCCTTGTGTCCCAAGTATCCTAATAGTTTGTGAATAACTTTTGTCTATCTATTTGAACATAAAGGGATTACCTCAGGTGGTCTCTTGCATTTTGAAATTCTAGCTCTTCTAGATTTACCATGTATATTTGTATATAAAATCTCAAATGTCAGTGTAAAGATCTTCATAGTCCATCAATTTTACTTCTAATGGGAGATGGAAATTAGAAGTTTTTAAACAACTTGAAAATTTCACATAAAGTGAAAAGAGAAAATGAAATTATAGAAAGAAAAAGAGATAAATTAATTAAGAAATATTTATAAGTTTTTGAGGTAGTTTATGGGAAATGTAGCTGAAAATTCTGGGTGTGGCATGTCAAATTTGTACCTGCGAACCGTTTGGCTGTATTGAGCCTGTTTACCTGAAATCGCCTTCATAAAGAGTAGTTTGGAACTTTAACATATAGAGATCTGGGATATTTCAAACTACTCCTTATGTATGGGATTGTGTTCATTGTGTCTGCATCTGATTGTCAATAATGCTCTTCTGAATCACTTTTTCGGATGGATGTTAATTATGCCATCATTCTGTGCTTTTTTAAGGAAAATATTTATGTTTCATGTCTTCATAGGCTAAGGTTGTGCCAGCATGCTGTTATAATGCTAGGTAAACAAAATCTGCAGTTATATCAACTGCATGAACTTTTTGCTACTTTTGTAGGTACCCTTATTTGGCAGTGGTTCTGAACTTCAGTCAGTCATGGGCATTGTACTGTCTTGTTCAATTTTATGCTGCTACAAAGGATGAATTGGCACATATAAAGCCTCTGGCTAAATTTTTGACATTTAAGTCTATTGTTTTCCTCACTTGGTGGCAAGGGGTGGCAATTGCTCTCCTCTATGCCTTGGGTTTGTTCAGAAGTCCCATAGCACAAGGCTTTCAGTTGAAGTCTAGTGTCCAAGATTTCATCATTTGCATCGAGGTAGATATCCTTCACTGGAGTTAGCTTGAGCACTGGCATGGGTAATTAAGTTGGGGGGCTGTAATTGGATATCTATTTAAAATTTTGTGCTGTTCTATTTTAATTCTCTGGTGGCTTTAACACCTTCCTCTGTGGCCCAGGGGTGTAGAGCTTCGTATAGGTGACTGTGGCATGCAGAATAAGTTGTGCATAAAGGTCTCTTGATGGTTAATGTTGATTGGTTGCTAATTGTCCAGTTTCACACCTTTAGGTGTATGCACGAATATTTTTATCCGTATTACATTAGCTTAGCGACCAAGCATTTATATTATATTCTTTTTGATGGAATAAGATATTTGCTATGAACCTTAATTTACAGATACTAATGATGATAACACCAGGCCCTCTGATTGATAACACCAGACGGCCTATGGCTATGGGATGAATATACTAGAAGGTTCAGGATTTCATATGTTTTTATTTCTTAAGTACTCTGATGCAGTATTTTTCATGGTGCTTATCAAATGCTCAAGTTCTCTGGTTCTTCAACACTTCGTTGGATTCACTGTTGAATCTTTTGCATTGTGAAACATCATCATCTTTCCCATCTCCATAACATGTTTTGTTTCTATGGCTGCTCCAGATAAGGGGAAAAGTAAAGTTTGACAGCTCTTTTTATTCATCCAGCACAGATGGGCATTGCTTCTGTAGTTCATCTGTATGTGTTTCCAGCAAAGCCTTACGAGCTAATGGGAGATCGCTTTCCTGGAAGTGTTTCAGTCCTTGGAGATTACTCTGCTGACTGTCCTCTTGATCCTGATGAGATTAGGGACAGTGAGCGCCCAACTAAGCTGCGCCTCCCTAATCCTGATGCTAATGTAAGGAGTGGGATGACAATCAGAGAGAGTGTTCGTGATGTTGTTATTGGCGGTGGTGAATATGTAAGTTTCCTATATTTTGGTAATACTTGAACTAATTCAGGCCATGTGATGCTGATCAGTACCTAGTAAAGGCCCCTTCTTCGCTAATGCTAAGAAATAAATATATTCCTAAACATTTAAAGAAGAAATTATAAAATTGTCTGAGTGGGAGTTATTGGCAAATAATCCGCTCATAAATGAAACAAACTTCCTTGTTAATGTTATAATATGTAGAGAGAAACTATCAAACTATCTTGATGTCGAACAAAAACAAGAGCGGGGAAAATTACAAAAATATTTATTCAAATTCATTGACAGAGTTGCAATCCCGAATAGTATATGGAATGTGTGGAAAGTTTTAAATAATTTTTGGTGAAAATGTGGGGAGAGTTTCATTTTTGTATTATGTTTATGATAATTTTTGTTACTTTCATAACCTCGTGCGTCTGTTTTTCTTATTTTAACATAATGCAAGTAAAGCAAGGACATTCTGTGAAGCCTCGAAAAATAGAAATTGCCCAATATTTTCTTTATCTGTACCATATACATTTATAGATTAGACATTTCCTTCAGTGCATTTCATGTTAATTTTCAGTTCCTTCTTGTATCTGCCTCCCTGTTTCTTATACACAGATTGTGAAAGATGTGAGGTTCACCGTCAATCAAGCAGTGGAGCCAGTAGAAAAGGGAATCACTCGATTTAATGAGAAACTACATAGAATTTCTCAAAACATTAAGAAGAATGACAAAGATAGAAAGAGAACAAAGGACGATAGTTGCATTGCTTCATCATCATCACCTGCAAGGAGGGTGATTCGGGGAATAGATGACCCCTTGTTGACGGGGAGTGTTAGTGACAGTGGGGTATCAAGGGGAAAGAAGCACCGCCGAAAATCAGGATACGTGAGTGCGGAGAGCGGAGGAGAGAGTAGTAGTGATCAGAGCTACGGAGGATACCAGGTTAGAGGCCATAGATGGGTTACCAAAGAGTAACAAGTACATTTTTGCAGAGGGAGAAATGATTTCTTATATACGCATAGGAAGGTTTTATTATATTTGGTGCATGAGAGCACTGGTTGGAAATTTTGTGAAGTAAATTGTTCCTCATTCGGAGGTACCACGGTACTGTTCCTGTACCATTTCTCTGATAGACAGGTCTTGAATTTTTGTATAGATGTTTATTCTGGTAGCTTGTAGCAGTTGCTATGGCTGAAGAAAAATTTAATGGTTGCTGAGATGAGCTACAGATGTGTCTGTCCAACATGTTTGTTTGTTTGTTTGTTTGTTTTTTTTTTAACATATTGCTGCTTTTGATTGGAACGTTAATGGTACCATATGGTCTCGTCAGTGTTTAAATTCAGTGAAGGAGGTCCGCCTGATTTAGGGCCATGGATGGTAATCCATGTACGTATAGGTTGGTAAATCTCACGGCCTAAGGGTCTAAAACTGAGTGTATTTGATCCGTTTTTCTTCACTTCTTTAAAATGACCCTGTTGCATAGGGCTTTGGTTTTTCTCTTTTCCATCCAGCATCTCGTGAATGGATGCTCACTGCGTATATTTTTTTCCCAGAAAAAAATGGATAACAGGAGTAATTATTTTATTTTTAAACCTCCTAAGTGGTCGAAATAACTACATTTGCACAGGATCATTATAGCTATTTTGACATTTAATTTGATCTTAAACACTCTTCTGGTTTTTAGTATAGGATCTAATTCTGGAGTTGGTTTTAGTCTTAAATATAAGACTCATTTATCATATTTGTTATTTTTCGCTAAATTACTTTTATAGATACTCCCTCAACCATAATTAAGTAGAAGAGGGAGAGGGGTATTAAGAAAGATGATTATGGTGTTTTACAAAAAATGTGTCACTTTTCTTATAATTAACTAACTTACCTAACTTCCTTAATCTAATCAAATTAGTTAAATGGGTCTTATATTAAGGAATGGAGGAGTATAAAATATCAATTCACTTTGTTTTTTATATTTATTTATTTATTTAAAATAGTTTTTGTAGTAGTTGTCTATGTTAAAGGTTATAGTTTTAGTTGAGATACATAATTAGTAAGGGTATTTTGAGAAAAGTAATATACTACCTCTGATCCTTAATATAAGATCATGTTTGACTTTTATTTTGATCTTAAGTATAAAATCCCAACCCACTTTGTCTCTCGTATTTATATATTTTTTCTCAAAGTAATCCTTCTAATAGTGATAGTTTTAGTCAATACATTTGATTAACAAGAATATTTTAGAAAAGACAATACTTATTTAGGACAAATAACTAACTCAACTTATTTTCTTAATTTTCTCAAATTTATCAACTGGCTCTTATAATTAGAACCAGAGGTAGTATTTACTACAAATAATTAACTTAACAAAATTTTTTTAATTTATTCAAATTAGTTAAAGTAGTATATTATAATAGACATGGATTGTTAATTTTACACAGTGCCAGGATCTCATAGTGTAATAGACACGGATTATCAATTTTTGCAAGATATATCCTCAAGTGAAACAAAATAATTCATCAAACCTTAAAAGATGAGTGGAATCAAGCCTAACAGACCTCCGCTCACCGTCACCAACACGACAAGAAATTAAATAACAATACATAAAAAGATAGTTTCACTTCCGAGCAAAAATCAGACAAACAACAAAACGTACTATCTCATATTCTTAATATAAGAGTTAGTTAAATAATTTAAATATATTAAAAAAATATTTTAATTAGTTATTTGTAATAAATAGGTGTTGTCTTTCCTGAAATATTCTTATTAATCATGTATATTAGTTAGAATTATAAAATATTTAACATGTGTAATTACTATAAAGACTATCTTAAATAAATAAATATAAAAGATAAAGTGAATAAAAGTCTTATATTTAGAACTAAATTGAATGTCAAACTAGTTTTTATATTAAAATGCGGGGATAGTATTGTATAAAAACTAATGGGAAAATGCCAGAAAAATGCACCTCCAACTCCAAAAGCCCAAAAACGTCCGCCGAATTTCAGTAATTCCGTTTTGGTACCAGCAGACCATTCTGGGATTATTTTCTTAGACAAAAAGACCAAACCGCCCTCAGTGTTATTTTAAACAAAAGGTGGGAACAGAGGCGGTTTTTCGACTCTCTCATTCTCGACCCCTGTTGCAGCCGACGGAGCGAAGAAGAGAGGAGAAGAGAGCGGAGGAGGAAGCTACTACCGGCGTCGAAGAAGAGAGAAGAGACGAAGGAAGAGCGTTTGGTGGTCACCGTTGAAGAAGAGAAAGGAAAAGAACGACGGAACGGCTACATTGCGGCAATCGATCGAAGGTGAGGAAGAGAGAAAAGGAGGAATTTGCGGTGAGACAGAGGTAAGTTTGTTAACATTTCTTCCTTCTCTGTGTTTGTTCAAGTTATATATTTGATATTGCTACTACTTTTAAGATGTCGATCGAATGTGTGTGAGAGGGAGTGGGCAGTTTCTGGAGATGAAAATGACAAAGTGAATGTGCAGAAAGTGGAGGACCCACTAGATTGCTTGCATTTCACCATATGATGACTGATATACTTTCAGGAGTGTGGACCACATACACAGCCCACAGCCCCGTACCTTTCTTTTCTTGTTAATGATTTCACTGTTTCATCACTACTTTATCTCTACCTTTTTGTTCTTTTCATTCACATTTCCCACTCCTCCAGCCCAGCCACCAAGCTATTCCTGTCAGCTTAATTAACATCGATGACACTGTTATCTCTATGGACAATAATTGTCTTTCATCTATTAGCCTAAGTTAAATGCATATTAGTATAATTGTATAGTTTGATTTAAGGTATGAATCACAGTGATGGTGTGGGGGAGTGTGTATAAGGGTGTAGAGGGCGCCAAACTTAAAATAATTATTTGAAAAAAAGGTGAATGTACCCACTGTCATGTAAATATATATATGTTGTTAATCCCTACACTGGAGTTGTAAAATTGTAACCGAAGTTGGAGAAAAGGGTTTGTGTTTTCTTGAAAATGCTGTTGTGAATAGCCATACTGAAGTTGTAAAAGTATATGTAGATGTTGTTAAGCCGTACACAAGGGTTGTAAAGTTGTAACCGAAGTTGGAAAAAGGGGTCTGTGTTTTGTTGAAAATACTGTTGTGAATAGTCATACTGAAGCTGTAAACATGTATATAGATGTTGTTAATACCTACACCGAAGTTGTAAAATAGTAACCCCGAAGTTGGAAAAAGGGGTCTGTGTTTTCTTCAAAATGCTGCTGTGAATAGCCATACTGAAGTTGTAAATACTTATATAGATGTTGTTAATCCCTACACTGGAGTTGTAAAATGGTAACCGAAGTTGGAGAAAAGGGTTTGTTTTCTTGGAAATGCTGTTGTGAATAGCCATACTGAAGTTGTAAAAGTATATATAGATGTTGTTAATCCGTACACAAGGGTTGTAAAGTTGTAACCGAAGTTGGGAAAAGGGGTCTGTGTTTTGTTGAAAATACTGTTGTGAATAGTCATACTAAAGCTGTAAACATGTATATAGATGTTGTTAATACCTACACCGAAGTTGTAAACTAGTAACCCCGAAGTTGGAAAAAGGGGTCTGTGTTTTCTTCAAAATGCTGCTGTGAATAGCCATACTGAAGTTGTAAATACTTATATAGATGTTGTTAATCCCTACACTGGAGGTGTTAAGTTCTAACCGAAGTCGGAAAAAGGGGGTTTGTTTTCTTCAAAATGTTGGTGAATAGTCATACTTAAGTTGTAAATATGTATATAGATGTCGTTAATCCCTACACTGGAGTTGTAAAGTTGTAACCGAAGTTGGAAAAAGGGGTCTCTGTTTGCTTGAAAATACTGTTGTGAATAGCCATACTGAAGTTGTAAACATCTATATATATGTTGTTAATACCTACACCGGAGTTGTAAAATAGTAACTCCGAAGTTGGAAAAAGGGGTTGTGTTTTCTTGAAAATGCTGTTGTGAATAGCCATAATGAAGTTGTAAATACTTATATAGATGTCGTTAATCCCTACACTGGAGCTGTTAAGTTCTAACCAAAGTCGGAAAAAGGGGTCTGTGTTTGCAACAAAATGTTGTTGTGAATAGTCATACTGAAGTTGTAAATACTTATATAGATGTTGTTAATCCCTACACTGGAGGTGTTAAGTTCTAACCGAAGTCAGGAAAAGGGGTTTGTTTTCTTCAAAATGCTGTTGTGAATAGCCATACCGAAGTTATAAATAACTATATAGATGTTGTTAATCAGAAGTTCCTAATTGTTTTCTGACATGCTTGTATTAATGTGTAATGTGCAGAAAAAATGGTGTTGGAGGGAGAGACATCAACTTCAAAAGGGCCAAGGAATGGGTATGTCTTATTTAGAGAGGAATTTGCTCAAGGGAAAAAATTCAAGGGTGTAGTAGATAGAACTAACAAGGCGAAAGAGGCATGGGCAAGGCTCTCTATTAAGGAAAAAAATATATAGTGAAAGGGGCCAACAAATGAGGCCGGAGAAGAAGAAGAGTAAGAAGAGTATGGAAAATGTTCACCCGTTGCTCTGTTCGTCAATTCATGTCACTGGCGGAATTTGTTAAGAGTGATGAAAGTTTAAGACAAAGGATAGAGAACATAGGATTCTCTAAGTTGTTGGATGTGGAAATTGACAAACTCCCACGTGAGTTAATTGTAGCTTTCATTCAATCGTACGATCCAGCAACACATCAGTTCCGATTAAGGGGGAGGACAGAAGAAGTTGAGGCAAACGATGTGGGAACATTGCTTGGTGTGCCCCATACTGGGGAAGAGGTAAAAGGAGATGTTGATGAAAATCATGACACATATAAGAAGCTGAGGAGAAAGTATTTAAATGTTGTTTATAGCAAGATATTAGCTGACATAAAAAGTGGGACGGATGATGAGCATTTTGAACTATTATTTATGTTGGTCACACTTGGCACATTTCTAGCTCCAACTTCAAGTGCAAGAGTTGGTGAGAAGTTATTAAGGGTGGTATGTGCAACTATGAATGGATATGAACAGTATGATTGGGCAACGTACATCATGAATGACCTCTACAAGGAAATGGAAGATTATGTGAATTTGTTCAGGAAGGAGAGGGATCCGTGCTGCACTGTGGGTGGCTGCCTGTACTTCTTGGTGTATGTTTAGAGCAAAACATGTTGTTCAATGTTAATGTAACTGTTTAATTCAATTGGCTAATGCGGTGTGTTCTATGATTGTGTTTGCAGCTATATTTGGGTGAGAAATTCCCAT